TGCCAAACAGAAAGGAAAGGAGCATTTATAAAGTTAGGGTTGTTTATCAACAGTTATATTATTTGCATGGTGATAGCACTTAGTGTCTCCAAGCCATGTATCACAGCACCATTGTGCTCGGTGCTGTAAAATAACACAGTTGCAGGACAAGAGCTGAGGATGACAAAGTTCAACTAAAGTTACTTATTCTACTAGTGTTACTTGAAGTGTCAAATAGACTAAAAAGACAAGGAGGTAGAAAATAAAGCATGATTGTGTGAATGGGTTTGGGCATCAATTATTAATCTCAACCAAGAATTTTATTTAACACACACCACAAAAAAAAAAGCAAAAAACCAGAATGCTTCAAGGTGCAGACAAATTAAAAAAAATACAGACTTTCAAATTACAAAGGAATACGTGAGGGGGCAGCATCTATGTTTAAATATTCAAGCGTCACCACTGAAAGGGATTCACCTGTGTTACCAACAGTGGCTAGAATGTACAAGCTTGATTTTCAACCTTTTTAAAAACTCACCCCAGTCTAAAAATAGGAAAAGGTTTCAGCCCCCCCAGGCTAGCCATCAAAAGAAGTTGGGTGTGATACCCTTAGACCTGATTGTGACCCCTGAGTTGCGAGTCCATCATGATCAGTGCTTAGGACAACAGGACAGGAGATATAAATTCTTGGTGGATCGAAAGAGCTGCTCCCGGCTTCTCCATCCCCCACAATTCCTCTTTGTGCTTAGGGGGCTGTGTATCTCCTGAGCAGTTCATACCCCCTAAAGTGCCCTTCTGGCTGGGGCCTGGGAACCCCATGAGGGCTTCTTCCCCCCAGCTCCTCAAGCAACTGCCAAGATTTCCACAAGTGATTGTGGGTGCCTGGTTTGTATGAAAAGAGCTGGACTTGTGGGGGTTGGGGAAAGGGGTGTTGAGCCCTTGCTTTATCAACATGCCCCTTTTGTGGGGGATGTCTCATGTTGGGACCCCAAAACTGAGGCATCATAACTCACTCATCACTGCTGAAGGCCTTGGCCACTTGTTCTAGGTTCACTGGGGCTGGAACAGTCACCTCCCTGTCCCCAGTTATTCTGGGTCTCTGCCTTCCCAACCAATTCAGTTCACCCCCAACATCATTTTCCCCTTGCAGCGCCCTGACTTAGACTGGGAGTCAAGAGGAGATGGGGTGCTCCTGCGTTGCCTGGATAGGCTACAGGCTGTGGCTGCTGCTGGGCTCAGGGAGCTGCCCTCAACCCCTTGGAGCCCAGGCTAGGCTACTGCTGTCTGGCTTCAGCCTGGCCTCACCTCTCCCCCTTGCTGGTCCGCAGCTGTGGCCAGCTGGGCTGTACAATGTACTAGTGACCATGAAGCGATGCTGTTGTGCAGCTCCCTGGCGCAGCTGCAGCCACACAGATCACAAGGTGGGGTAGGACAGGAGCAGCCAGCCCAGCAGAGCAGAGGAGAAGTGAATGATCAACATTAATCACACTGGTTATGGCTCAGACTAGATTTTGACTGTTTCAATAGGTTTCTGTAGCTACAGCTCTCGAGATGGGGGGGGGGGGGAGGTGAGTAATACGGTCCAAAAATGGCAGCTTGGAATTTGCTTTCAAGTAGAGAGCCCTTAGTTCAGGCTGTGGTCAGTTATGCCCAAGTAATGCCCCACTGTTAGGGACTGTTGGTTAAATAATTATTAGACAGCAGGCTGTAGGGTTTTCTGAGTCCCAAAACTTTATTTTTTTTAATAGCCCTAGCACTACACAAACAAGCCTCAGGTGAATGCAGTAGCAGGGGAAGTGCATGTAACTTACAACTTGTGTCAGTATACCTCATATTCCAAATAACTAAGTAGCAATGCTTCAGCAGTGATAAAAAGGTCCAGCAAAAGACTCCTGGCACCACTGAAGAGCACTGTAAGGAAAGAAGGTACGTTGCTGCGGTTGAATAGTCAGTATGCTAGGAATATTATTTCTAGTGCAGTATATAACCATTGCCCCTGCTTTATCTTCCTTCATAGCCCATCACAGACATTGCTGTCAATTACCTCAGACACTAGCTGGAAGCACATGTAATAAACCAAGATTATATACCTATCTTAGGTGATCAGTCACTGACACTAAATGTTTTTAGTAAGCTGTGTCAATCAAAGCCTGTCTACAGATATATGTATGGCAACTGGTTTAGACAGAAGCTGTTTTGTTTCTAAACAAAACTATTTTTGACATTTAAATAGCACAAGCAAGTGCAATCCACACTAATGAAAGAGCTATATTTTACAGTATAAAAATCCAGTATGTTGCAGTTTAGTAGATATGACTTGTCTTTTGCATACCTATTTCTCTCCAAGGATAATCTTTTCAGTTCCAAAGCATATTTCTAGCAGATTTCATTATAACAAGAAAACTGTACAGCAGCATGGTGGCAAAGCCTCCATCACCATATTAAAATTCTAAATCAGATGCGGTGCTCTTCCTTTCAGTCTTTAAAGCAAAGAGATGAACATCTGAGGGGACAGAGAGAATCATTTGCAAGTGGCAACGTACTATCTAACAAGTTGTGTTTGGAAAGTATTCCAATTACCATTGAAGGACTGCGTTTCAAAACACCAATTTGTAAGGAAATAACTGTATAATGAAAACAAAAGTGCACAGTTGATCAAAATGTGGAAAATAACCGTATCAAGATGGCTCTGGAGAAGTAATTAGTTCTGCATTTTGCATATTTAATCAAAATCAACAAAATGATCTTGCCCCATGTTGTCACGGGTGAAGGTCAAGCCTACTTTTCATCATGTTTTTATACAAATGCAATAGTGTCTTCATGGCAAATAGATGGCTCATAATTTCTGGGATTAAAGGCAAACAGTTAAACTACCAGTTTCACACAACCAAAAGAGCACTTCTGATCTTTCAGCATATTAGTGTTATGTTGAGAACTAGATTGTGTTTTGGGAAGCAACGGGGGGGCGCTTTTATTCAGTTTCATAAACAGGAAATATTTTATAGTTTAATTATTTGTTAGTGATTGTAATACATTAGCCCCTATGAGACATACCCAGCTTCTCACAGTGTATTCAGCTACTTTTCCCTGAGCCAAAAAGCAAATTACCAGATTATAGGTGCTTAAATACTGTACTGGGGATGAATTTTGTGAAACCATCAGCGTGATCGTTTCTAGGTAATGAATCCTCGAAAAAATCCTTCTGCACAGTTACGTCTTTGAAATGTAGCATGTTTTTAATCTAGTGATTTAAAAACAAAACAAAAAAGCCCGCACCATCCTGCTGGTTAGAACCATAGGTCTGTCTCAGGCTTTGAAGCCCTCGAAGTATTGTTGACTTTTCAAAGAATAATTTTAAAGCAAGTGCAGTTTTCAGCCTAAATTTAGCAAAAGTATTTTTTCAACCAATTATAATTTTGAGTCACAGCAACATGGCTTTTGGGGGTTGGTGTGAGTTTACAGACCCTTTAAGGTGTTGGCTTAACAGTCCATCTGCCACACAAGAAGTTCAGTTGGGCAACGTTCCCTGCACTGTCCATTGAACACCTAATCGTGCTAACCCCTCTCGAAGTGAGGCAATAGTTCAGGCTCCATGAACAGTCACACTTTTCTATATATTCAGTGGCTAGTAGCTTTTGTGATGGGAATGCTTATCTACTGGGAACTTGACAGAGCAATCTGATCATTTACTCTTCGCACCCTGAACAGGATTTGAAATGCAACTTGCAGGTGACATGCTCCACATTAGTTACAAATAATCAGCAATTCTAATGAGAAAAACTGCCAGAAATAATTGGTATAGCATCTTATTTCCAGTAGACATCAATGAAATTGAGTGCATAATTTAGATTTATAATTCTGAAATCCATTAACTGTCCAGACAGATAACACTTGTATTTAAATGAAGTGGGTTATGTTTTTTCTTTAAATGAAGAGGAACACTTCAAGTCAGTCAGATTTTGCTATCCCATTTTCTCCCTCAATCCTATCTATTCTATGTATTCCACGCAATTTTGAATGAACACTGTATTTCATACTAGTCTACATCATATGTACTGTCAAATGTCCTTTTAAAATGCAGAGGTGCCAACATTAAACAATACTAGACTATTGAAGGCATTTCATTAAAGTGGCGCAGAGTTTTACCAAACTCTATAAATAACACATCAGAAATACTTACATTACAAAGATTTATAATTATAATATGCATAATTTCTAACTTTCCAGCTGCATATTTTAGCATTTTTTCATACTCCTTTAATCATTCCTAGGGTGTGCACCAAATAATGCTAAATATTTTATGTACATCTTTTTCTCAAGAATGTCACCTGATTTTCATGAAGTTGGCTCAGAATCAAGGGGCCTAAAAATTCATGTCCAACTGTGTACCATGTCTGTGTACGCTATTACCACTACTGCCTGGAGAAAGAGGACATGGATTTCAGGCACACTTAGAGTGTAAGAAATTAAACCAAAAGCATTTGTAGGATTTATAAATTTTATTTACACATGGGCCAAGGCTTCTAGGGCCCCATACGGCAGGACCCAAGGATTGGTATGTAACCTTTATCCTCCACAAACAGCCTACCAGCATGCAGGTCACATCCTGAGGGTCTGTGTATAGCTGCAGCCTGCCAGCCACACATCGGTCACACTGTGGTTTTCCTCAGGCTTAGTCACCACTTGCAGGGTGACCCCAACACATTCCAGTCCCAGATTTCCCCCCAAAACGTGCATTCTGCACTGTCTAGCCCTCTCCTGGGCAGTCCAGATATATTAGGTCCATTGTCCCTCTAAGGGGACCAATATACAACAGTTTGCTACCCAAAATGGAGTTACCCAGACACAGTTCACAACACTGGATTAGTTTTGATTAAAGAATAAAACAAATAATTTAACTACAAGAAGATAGTTTTTTCTCCTGACTTTCTCAAGCTGACTTGTTTTTTAAAAGGTAGAGAAAAAACACTTGAGACATACACTGTACATGAATAACATTAAAAAGATGATGAAACCTCAGGTTAAGATTTTTTGTCCAGTTTATTTTACTTAAAGGTCCCAGCTTATAACTTGTCTTGTATTAGGAGCCCAACAACAGAACATGCTTATTATTTTTATTTAACCCTGTTTTCCTCTCAACTATAAGTATTGTTTGCACTATGGCAACCCTAGAAATATCAGTTATATTCCACTAAATCTCTCGCCAAACAATTAAAGTATCTTGTCAGCAATAAGTGTAAACTTCAGCAATTTTTATTACAAACATTAGCAGTTGAGTAAATAGCTTTTTATATCCAAGTGCATAGAAGCCAAAACAAGATATGTTCCTTCAGCTTTCAGCCAAATGTCCATATGATGTATAGCTATCCAGCTGCAACATTGGTCAGCTCTCAGAGTGTTTTGAAGCATTAGTGAGCCTCTGCCGCATCTCTTCAGCATGTGCCCTGCTCTTGGCTCGGTTTTCTTGGTACTGGAAAACAAGGAAATAAATTAATAATAAATAAATTATGTCACTGAATTTAAAATGCAGTACAAGTTTATCACTTGCAAGAAAACAAATGTTTTTGCTTGACAAATTATTTAGGGCTGTCAAGTTATTAAAAAAATTAATTGAGCGATTAATTGCACAGTTAAACAACAATAGAATACCATTTATTTAAATATTTTTGGATGTTTTCTACATTTTCAAATATATTGATTTCAATTACAACACAGAATACAAAGTGTACAGTGCTCACTTTGTATTTATTCTTGATTACAAGTATTTGCACTGTAAAAAAAATAGTATTTTTCAATTCACCTAATACAAGTACTGTAGTGCAATCTCTATATCATGAAAGTTGAACAAATGTAGAATTATGTACTAAAAACCGCATTCAAAAATAAAACAATGTAAAATTTTAGATCCTGCAAGTCCACGCAGTCCAACTTCTTGTTTGCTCAAACAAGTTGCAGCAGATAACGCTGCCCGCTTCTTGTTTACAATGTCACCTGAAAGCAAGAACAGGCATTCGCATGGCACTGTTACAGCCAGCGTCGCAAGATATTTACATGCCAGATGCGGTAAAGATTTGTATGTCCCTTCATGCTTCAACCACCATTCCAGGAGACATGCGTCCATGCTGATGATGGGTTCTGCTCGATAACAATCCAAAGCAGTGTGGACCGACGCATGTTCATTTCATTATCTGAGTCAGATGCCACCAGCAGAAGGTTGATTTTCTTTTTTGGTGGTTTGGGATCTGTACTTTCCACATCGGAGCGTTGCTCTTCTAAAACTTCTGAAAGCATGCTCCACACCTCATCCCTCTCAGATTTTGGAAGGCACTTCAGATTCTTAAACCTTGAGTCGAGTTCTGTAGCTATCTTTAGAAATCTCACATTGGTACCTTCTTTGTGTTTTGTCAAATCTGCAGGGAGTGTTCTTAAAATGAACACCATGTGCTGCTATAAAATACTATTGCTTTTATCAGTTTACAGTGCAAATATTTGTAATAAAAAATACATTTTTATTTCAATTACAACACAGAATACAATATAAATGAAAATGTAGAAAAACATCCAAAATATTTAATAAATTTCAATTGGTATTCTATTGTTTAATAGAGCAATTAAAACTGTGATTAACTGATTATTTTTAATCGCGATTAATTTTTTTTAGTAATTGTGTGAGTTAACTGTGATTAATCGACAGCCCGACAAATTATGTTTGCATTGACAAAATTATTTTCATTATTTCATGTTTTTATTGACTCATTTTCTTTAAAATTAACAAAGGGTCTGTTTCATAAAAAAGAGCATTTTTTCGGTCTGAAATGAGTACAAAAACTGAATAACAATTCTAGTAAGAGTACAGCATACTTGCTTATGGGGAAAACTTATCTACCAAGCCAACTCATGGATGAGAAATATAGCTATCTTTGGATCATGAAGATACTTAAAGAGGTGCACCTGTGTAGAATGTAAGCACCATGCCATGGCACTGCTCTAGAAAATTCCTCCCTAATGCTAAGATGTCCAGGATGGCTCCTCTACTTTCTGCATCTACATGAAGTTGTCCTCTTTGTAACGTAAGTATCTGTGATCCACGCATATCTGCATTTCTAAACCAAAAAGATAAGAGAGCTTTATGCTCCTACTGGTATATTTTGTCAGACAGATGATGGTTATAAATTAGGCTTGGAAAGATTAGATTTTTATTGGTAACTGTCAGGAAACATCCATTTCACCACACAAACAGGTTGATGAAAAAAATTATTTTCACTGATAACTGAAATTTAGAGATAGGCAAAGTAACAAAAATACTGTTGGAGCACTTAGTCTGATTTTAAAATATTTACTTTTTATATCTGGACATGTGATTATGACAATCTGTGTTTTGTTATAAAGCTTTAACTTTTTGAATCTCAAACTATATTGTCATTAAATAATTACTGTCTGACCCCACCTCAATTTCCTGCAACTGAAAATTTAAGTCGAATAGAAAAAAATGCTTAAAAATAAACATTGTTATGATCTTCCAAAATTATTAAAAACAATCTAATTCCACCTAGCCTAGTTATAATGTTCCTTTAGCAGCCCAATGGCTGAGCAACACATTCCCTCACAGCATTTTGGACATTAACAGGAGCCAGCCTGCTAGAACACGCTATATTAACAGAACCTCCCCACAATGACATCTAAAGCCTTGTTTTCAGCTTAAAGGATCCAATGATCATGACCAGATGCCTGACAATGTCCCGTTCCAAAAAATCAAATTGGAATAACCCCATGAAGTTCATGAAGTCTGGAACAAATGCACAAGAGATTTGGTCATCTTCAGTGTCTTGGATGACCACAACAGATAGTCTTGGTAACTAACATCAGAACTGGCAAGAGCTCAGTAAGCTCAGGTAGGAACTTGTAGCCTACACGTAATTCAAATTTCATTTTATTCCAGAACATTCATTCACATTTAAATAAATCCCAGACATGTCTGATGATATGGCACAAGTAAGACCACACCTAGAACACTGTGTACATTTCTGGATACCCCAGCGCACAAAGATTTGATACATTTCAGGAAAGAACATCATCATCAAAAGATTGGGGGGTTGGGACAGGAGTGGCAAGGCATTAGATATAATTTCTTCATAAATCAAAACAGCATCATTTAGCACAATTACAAAACCAAGTAAAAGCGATAGTTCTCTGAATATCTGAAAAGTATGAACACGAAAAAGGGGGAAATTAATTAGGATGACTATAGGAGCATAGTAGAAAGAAAGTGAACAAAGGAAACTTTCGCTTATTCAGCCCACACTTTCTTAACAGGTACTCAAAGGTCTCAATAGAGAAAGACTCAACTGTGCAATAGTCTGCCAAAGAAGTGATGAAAACACTTTCACTTGAGGGATTTCATACTAGATTAGACAATGTACTGACAAATATACTTTTGGGGACAGTCTTCAGCATTAATAGGAGTCTGGACAACTTGACTTAGGTCTTTTCCATCACAGTTTGGGCCCAATTGTAGAAAACAATTTTTATTTTCATGTTAAATTTTGAAAAATGCAGTCTCTGTTAAGCAATTGCCTGTATCTGCAAAGCTTTTCTAACTTTCAAAGAGTAACAAATTGTTTTCTGCTACAGGAGTTTCCATACAGCTGTAAGTCTAAGTATTGCCAGTTTTGTGTTATACATTTTAAAAGCATATCCACAGAGGGTTACTGACTACCAATACCTAATTAGAAAGTGCTTATAGTAAAATGTTTTTTATATTTCTTAAACTCAGCCCTGGTCTACACTAGACAATTAGGTCATTCTAGCAACATTGGTCAGGGCTGTGAATAATCCGCACCTTCCCGAGCTGTGTAGTTAAGCTGACCTAAGTCCCTGTGTAGACAGCACTAGGTCACTAGAGGAATTCTTCCAATTGACCTAGCTACTGCTCTTGGGGAGGTGGATGTCCTACGCCGACGGGAGAATCCTTCCCGTTGGCATAGGAAGTGTCTGCATTGATGTGCTACAACACCACAGCTATGCCGCTGTAGTGTTTTAAATGTAGACAAGCCCTCAGACAACAGTGAAAATCAGTGCAGCTAAAAGCCACTATACAAGTTATTCAAGTCTGCAGTTACTGAATATTTTTGTTAGTGAAAATAAACTATGTGCAAAGATCTCGTCTAAAGGCCCTATCTAAGGAACTCTGTACACCTCATAGCTCCTGCGTGGCATGACACATTAGTTCTCTTCCCAATATTAAATCGGATATCTTTAAAAAAAAGACATTGATGACATATTTGCTATGGATTTTGTATCAGAGGCAACAGCTACTTTTCACCTAAAGGAAAGCACAAGTGTGATATTTAAACAAATTTCTCTTCCAATATAAACACACACTGGGTATCAAGGGCCAATAAAAAAATATATATAATTTTCTTTGGATGCAGTCCTTAGGAAGAAGGATCCTCCCAGAATTTGCCTCCACAACTAGTACTGCAGCAATATGTCTTAACAACAAAAGCATTTTGGTTTGCCCCAAAATAAGATTTTGATTAAAGTGAAGTGCATTTATAACAACACAAAACATCACACTGACTTAGATAATATTACATGCAAGTGATATTTGAACAGTTTCAAATCACTTCATACATGATTTCTCCTTGTGTAAGATGTATATTCCACTCACAAACGTCAAGGCACTAAAACAGCTTCCTAAATGAACTAAGACTAGTACCAGAAGAGTTACATTTTAAAAAGCCAACAATGTTTGAGTTAATTTGAAAGATTTTGAAAATAGAAAAATGGGCCTACTTTATGACAGAACATTGCTTTTTACACCTGGCTACCACCGAGGAAATCATGGACCCGGACCTCATTTGAAATCAACAAAACTCCAACCCCTCTCCAATACTAAAGAAAACTATGGCAAATACTATTCCCTCACCTCAAGTACATACATCTTTATAGCATATTGTTTATATTGAGCTTCCCATCATTTTATGTTAGTTGTATTTTTGCTTGAGAAGAGAAGCTTTGTTCTTAAAGTACATTGTTCCTGTTACTATATGCTTATGATTCATGCTGATAAGACACAAGAAAAAAAAATACTATTCTCTGGTATAGTACTTAGATTCTGCTGGTTCTAAAGTACATACTCATTCACAAATGGGCTTTTTTTTTTTGTTTTTTTCCCCCCATGTATATTCACAATAATCGTTTCAAATAAGATATTTTGAAATTGCTAACTGATTACACCAGCAAGCCTTTGACCCTTTCAGGGTGCTACAGTTACACTATTATATCACTGTAGCCATAATTTAAGAGAGCAGATACTTCACAGCCTTTTTTCTTTCAATGGAAGAAAAAATTAGAATTGTACTGGAAAATTGGTAAATTATAGACCTCAGTTGACCTGTGTGTAACCTCTACATTGCAATGCCTCTTGACATACCTTTAATCCGGCCAATTCAATTGTATGTGGGTATCAAAGGGATGTTAAATTGGCTGGGAGACATAAGCCCATTCACCGATGTTGATAAAAAATCAAGGAAAATGTTTGAATGTTTACATCTGTCTATATCCTCTACTCAATTAGCCTTAAGATCAAAGATGGATATACACTGCATGGAACTATTGACTATTTCTTGTATTGTCCTCACTTATCTGTCCATGTTTTAATGAATGGCCAGCAATTGCCTAATGTAAATCGGTATAACTGAACTATTTGTGTATGCATGAGAAGTAGGTAGTTAACTTCATACCAAAGGTCTTTGGTTTAACAATGGAGACTCACAAACTGTCTGCATTACCTATTCTTCGTCAGAGAAAAACCCATGCTGTGGCAGTAACCCTCACTGAGCTACTTTCAGCTACAAATACTGGACCATTGGAACAATCCTGCTATCTCTGATTCATTTCTGGACTGCTTGAACTCTGGCAGGGAGAGTTCTAAGCATATGGACAGAGATTCCTGGAATTGATTTTTGGGAAGCCCTAAGGACTTATGAAAAGGATTCTAAACAACTCTATATCTATGCTTTAATCTCTTTAATAACTCAACTGATTAAGAAAAGAAATCTTTGGTTAGTTTACCAAGGAGTGGCTAACAGCTGTTTCTGGTGAGATCCTAAAGTATCCAGTGACTTGGGGTGAGGGACTGGTCTTTTGGGACTAGAAGAACCCAATGTGTGGTGTTTTTTGGGTTTAATAACCTTACATCATACAGTCCAGGTTGTCTGGATGACGATAAGGGGCTGGAATGCTAAGGAGCCTGTATGTGACTCTGTGGTAAAACTAATATAGTGATCCAGGGGTACACTTTTGTTACTGGCTTGGTAAAATCTAACTGTAGAATATACCACCAGTTTGGGTGTGTCTGTCCTGTTTTCTGACAGCTTGTCCTGAGTTTGGCATTCTTAGCTGTGACCCACTCTAGGCCCATGACAATATCTATTCTTATTTTTCAGTTTTATTTCACTGAGTTTGTATTATAGTTTGAGAAGGTTTTCTAAAGCATGCCATTAGAGTTCAAGTAGATGAAGTGGCATTCTCACAGATTGATAATGTAGGGCAAGCTATTCTGGCTGTTCAGCATTTGGCTTTTCAAAGCCACATTTTCAGAACATGGCCACTAACTTAGCACATACAACTCTGCGTTTGCACCATTCTGCATTCTATCATTTGACACACACAAATTCTGAATATACCAGTTCTCTCATCCAGGCATAACATTACAAGTGTAAAGATCAGAGTGGATCCTGTTGTGATACCTGGGCCTACAAATTTACCCTAATTGTAAGCTCAAGTGTAAAGAGTATATGAAAGTTCATAAATGTTACAATAACTTATAACAACAAATGTTAATAGAAAGTAAGTCAAGTAGCTTTCAATAATGAATGTTATAAACAGATGCAAGGGAACCAGACAAAGACTAAATTAATCTAAACAAAAAAATGACCCCAAATTTGGATCACAAGCCTACCCTGCATCTCCATGAGGTATGCCAAGTTTCAAAGCTAGCTGAGTAACCATGCAGGTTTTGGAGCACTTAGACTCATCCTTTAAACAGAAAGAGCTTCTCAACCCTGACTACCAGAGAGTTGGTGCTCCACTATGATTATTAACTAAACTTTTTCATTTTTCTTTTATCTGCAGTACAGTATTGTAATGAGCAGAGTCCTGAGCAGGAATGTTATACCTATAGGAATCACTTAAGGCCCAATTCTGCGACTCACTGAATAGTTCCCTGAAGCTAATAACTCATGTTAAGTCGTGCTCAACAGACAGAACTTGGTCGTTACTGTTTCATGTTGTATAATGCACAAATAGGTATCCTATGAAAAGCAAATCCCAACGAAACTGGCTTTATTTATTTTTTTTTTTTAAGCAGGAACAATCTGTGAATTGTTAATCAGTTTCTGTTTGGAAGCATTTTATTTTGTTAGAGATGCGTGGGGGAGAGGGGGAAGGTATTACATATCTACCTACTTTTGGATCTCTAGAAAAGGCTCCTGCCTTTGGTTTAAAAAACAAACAAACAACATCGGAGTGGAAGAGGCACTATTTCTTTTGAACATGTCGTCACAATGACTTCTGTTTTCATGTGCATGAGAGCTGCATTAACATTTCTGCTGAAGTGCGACCAATGTACTGTCAAGCTTAAAAACACTTACAAAGCAAGCAACAGTGCAACTGCCAAACAAGAGTGTTAATGAAAGAGACCTTTCTGGGTGATATACGGAATGGAAAAAAGTACTATAATTATTTGTGAATCAAAAAGTACATAATGTACTTCTAGGCTATTTAACAGTGCTGCTAACCCAAAGTAAGGGTAGCAAGATAGCAAACAGATAATTACTGATTCAATTTTATGGAAGAATGAATAATATTCTAAACTTTACTTACTGGTGATTTTAACCAGTGCTTTATATAATATCAGAGTCTACATTTAACTGAAAAAGTATCCAAGTTAGGCCACTATCCTGCAACTGGATCCACAAAGGTGGACATCTATGCCCTTATGGCACTCTGTTGGCTTCAGCAGCATTCTTGCCAAGCTCAGAGGTCTGTCCACAGGGATCCATTTTCAGGATTGGAGCCTACTACTGATTACAGAAATAAGACTCCTGGCAGAGGACTTTGATTCGGTATCTTTGCACAGATGGGTCCTAGCCTGGTCTCTCACTTTGCACATACTATTTTCCATGCACAGACCTTTGTCACAACAAATTGTATACTAGATAAAAAGGACACAACTGCACTGTTGCTATCCACTTTAATATAACCTTTGAAAACTTTAAGTATTTCAGTTACACTTTAAGTTAGTACCTTACCTCCTTCTTTAAGCATTTCCGCATCTCACGGTCAAGGTCATTGCAGTGGCCAAAAAATCTCAAAAAGTTGTGCTAAGTATTTATGGGAGAGAAAACACAATTTGCCATGTTATATAATTCAAAGTTTCTGCTTGAAAAGCATTACAGCTTCTTAGAAACTTATTTGTAGTTTATATTGTGTTCTATTCTTCCTTTCACTTCCTCTCTTGTAGAAAAGTCGTTTTGTAATGGATTTGATTTTTTTTTTTTTAAGGTGTGCTGAATTTCAAGAGAATTTACTCTGTCTAAAAATCAGAGCTACTTCTTTGGAAGTGTTGTTACTCTGTTAGGGCCCAAACTTTGGTGGTGCTTACCCTTCTATTTACTTTACTGGGAGTTGTACAACATGCGTTAGAAGGCACTCAACACATTTCAGGATCAGACTCTTAAATAAGATATACAAATTGAAGTCAGACGCATGGCTCATTGGCAACATATTTAAAGCATGTACTTATTAACTTGAAGGCCAATTCTGTAATCTTTACTCACCAAACAGTATAGCTAATTTCAGTGGAACTGCTCGTGTGTGTAAAAGTCTCTGGAACAGATTCTTCCGACTAGAGACGGTTGCAACCATTGCGGAGGGGATGTGCTCAATCCCCAGGATAAGGCACAGTGTACACTGCTTCTCCTTCATAGCTCTAAGAAGTGTAAATCCAGAACTACAGTTTCAGATTAAACTGCATACCATCCTGACCACATAAGAGTGTGCTGCTTGTCCAAAATATCTGCAGCTGCTATACAGAGGGAGACTGGTACTACAGAAGTGGCCATAACCCAAAAGAGAAGAGAAGGTAAGCCCCTCCAACCTACCGTTCAGATCAGCCCTAATTTCCCATTTCATCAAGCCCATGACTTGAGACTGCATTCTCTCTGGTTAGGAGTCAAATCACGGCAATTTCTGAGGCTTCATATATATTTAAATCTTATCTCATTTCAAAGATACTAATGGGGAAACTATGGCCATTGTTCTGATTGGCTGTCTATAGCTATCTTCCCCAAGTAAGTCAAGTGTCTGCCATGAAAGTAAGGCACCTAAAAGAAAACACTTTTTGAAGCAATGTCACATCAGCCAAAGAGCATTGTCCAAAAATATGCCCACAACTCCTAAAAGTGCCATTTTCACAGAATGATAATCAAGATGACAGTACCAAGTGGTTTGGCAGTAGAATGCTACATAAGACATCCAAATTACGCAAAAACCTACAAAAACTCAGATTCAAAAATACTTGCAGCTATAGGCTGGACTGAGTCTGCTTGGTCCACCGTGTGCAGAACACATCAGTAGCAAAATAGAATAGAAACTGAAAAAGTATGGCGAAGTCCATGGTATTTTAATGAAGAGCAATACATCTCTGCTAAAGTTTAGTATGCATATATTAGCCTGTATGTGAGTGGTATATAGAGACCATGTTAAATGTTAGTATAAATCATGTTAGTAATTAGTTTTACAAAAATCAGCTTCTATGAAGAAAAAATTTTGACTGTTGGACTCTAGGCTATTTAAAATAGAAACCAGACACTTGTTTCTCATTTAAATTGTACCAAATACTTTTATTTGCATTCCTGTGATTTATAAGCAAACATATGATTTATACATATGTGGGGTGGGATACCATTAATGCGTGCATGAAATTTCAGCCAGAGTTACAAATTTCAGAGTTACAGACTCCTGGGAATAGGAGGGGGTAATGAAGATGCTGACAGACACTTCACTGTAGCAGTGCTATAGTTAATTAGTTTATACCTCTGTATTTAATAGGAGGACATCAGATGACACCACATGCAGCAATTGCATGTGATAAGCCCTCACTCTCCCCAATTTGTACTCTACTACAAGCAAATCATGTTTAAAAAGAACGTTTTCATTTTTAACTAGTACAGACTTTGTTTAATTCGTAACAGAATATACCCTATATTTGCACTTTGATTTTTATGTGAGCTCTCATACCAGGCTTACGCCATTCTTCCCAAGGTGCACTGCTGCAAGCTATTATTCAACATGAATATTCTGCAGAGCATTTAAGATGCAGTAGTTCACTCACACTGTCACCTAAAGTCTCTTCCTTTCATATAAACATTTGGTTCACAGGGTTTCCAACTAAGAAATTTAGTTGACAGACAGAATTAATTCAATAAATTTGGAATGATAACATTTCCACAGAGCCTTATTTAGCGGGAGGGAAGGAATTTGGAAATATTTCACATAAGTGTGTTATGTTACAATACCATCCACCCCATATATCCATGACATAATCCCTTTAGCAAAAGGAATTCTCTTTCTTGTGAATCACATGAACATGCCAATAGCCAACCCTCCCTGAATCCGTCCGCCCTGCAAATTGTTTAAGTAAAATATGAATGGGGAGGAAATGATATCCTGTTTGTGTCTGACTATCACAAGTGAACACCTCCACACACAAATGGTAAGAAAATTCATAGGTCATGACTGCAATTGTTACCCTTAACTCGACACCTTTATGTTTAGAACTGGACACTACAGTTTACCTCACCACTATAAAATACCACAACAGCAAGCAACTCATCACACAGTACAAAAGGGCCAATATTTAGCACATAAATTAAGCCTTCGTAGGGATGTAAATTTGTTTTAGCATGGTAGTGCGATATTATAGTACCAAATAGTTGTTTACAGTATGTCAAAAATAGACAATATTTTACAAGTACAAAAATGTTATAGATTCACATTTATATTTAGATACAGTGCATCATCCAAGTGCAAACGTGTGCTTACTGTATATATGTACATACATGGACACCAATTATCTCACAGAGGCTTCTGTCTTCCTGAATTAGAAGAATTCAAAATTCATTTTTTAAAGTAAATATTACACTCCTCTGGCTAGTCTTTTAGTGTTAGCAACCATTTTTTCCAGTATGGGAAAGAGCTAAATTATTTCTAGTGAAGTAGCACAGAAATATTTCCATGCAGACACACTGATTGTCAAAGTTTCAGCCCAAATGTTTTACAACTTCTGTACAACCACACCTGCCCATTTAGAAATCCAAGCATCTATTTTGCAGTTAGCACATTTTAAGTGTGAAACAAAAAAAGGCTTTGAAAAAAACAAAAAACAAATACTGTTCAACTATTAACCACTGTAGATTTTTTGACATGGTACAAAACATATTACAAAACTTCAGTACAGATTCATATTTTTGTATGTCTGTACATACTTTTGATTGAAACACATTAATACAGTACATCCTCACTTAAAGTCATCCTGGTTAACATTGTTTCGTGGCTGATCTATTAGAGAACATGCTCATTTAAAGTTGCGCAATGCTCCCTTATAACGTTGTTTGGCAGCCGCCTGCTTTGTCCACTGCTTGCAGAAAGAGCAGCCCGTTAGAGCTAGCTGGTGGGGGCTTGGAACCAGGGTGCACCGGCAGCCCCCCATCAGCTCCCCACTCTCCTAAGTTCCCTGTGCAGCAGCTTCCCAGCATGCTATCAATTGCCAGGCAGTTCAGCTGTCCCACCCCCGCACTGCTGTGTGCTGCTCCTGCCCTCTGCCTTGGAGCTGCTCCTGGGAGCCTCCTGTTTGCTGTGCAAGGGGTTGGGGGAAGAGGAGTGCTGATGTCAGGCTGTCCCCACCCCACTCCTGTACCTCATCTCGACAGAGCTGGGGCGGAAGGGGGCAGGAGAAACACGACAGGGCTCAGGAGGGAGGGAGCTTGCTGGCAGCAGCTGCTGTCTCAACTTGCTGATCTACTTAAAAAGGCAGTGTACTTAGGTGTCAGCATACTTAAAGGGGCAATGCGTGTCTCTCACACATTGCGTGTATCTCTGTCTCTCTCTGCCATGCTGTCTCCCCTCCCTCCATTCCTGCTGCCTTGTAGAGTGTGAGGCTAATTAACAACATGTTAACCCTTGAAGGCTCAGCCGAATGCTAGTTCATCATTTAGCAGTAAAGCATTCCCTGGGAAATATCCCACCCTCTGACTCCATCACCTCAACCAAGCTTCACGATCATTGCTGTGTACAGTATTAAATGGTTTGCTTAAAACTTATACTGTGTGTGTGTGTGTGTGTGTGTCTTTTGTCTGGTAAAAAAAAATTTCCCTGGAACCTAATCCCCTCATTTACATTCATTCTTATGGGGAAACTGGATTTGCTTAACATCGTTTCGCTTAAAGTACCATTTTTCAGGAACATAACTACAACGTTAAGCGAGGAGTTACTGTATTAAAGGTAATCTCAGAATGTAGCAGTTGCAGCATATATCTCAGCCTTATTTAATTATAGCATGCAAGTGTGTGCTATGTGCCTCACAACACAGATAAAGATTGCATGATCCCTGCCTGGAGGAAGCTTACTAATTTCAGACACAATGCAACAAGGGGAGTTACAAGGCATAGAAAGAAGAACAGGGGTAACATCAATAAGATTATGTGCTTACTCAGTGAAGGCTAGTGTATAGCATGAAGGAATAACAAAGCTATTTTTAAACATATAACTAAGATATGGGACTTATTTTATTTCTTGTAGGCATCATACAAGGACTGAGTCTTCACGAGGGATTTTGGAGGAAAAATGGTAACAGCCTTATGGACCGGCTTGTGAAGTTCATTCTATTTGTTACTCCTGGGGGAATTCTACGCCAAAAAAATTTAAATTGTGCAAAATTCTACATATTTTGTCAAAACAACACAATATAATCACCCAGTTTCAATTATTTTGGTAATTTATTTCAAAATACCTGTCAACAAGTATGTCAACAATACAGACAACAGCAAAAAAGATTCTCCCAGGAGTAGAGAGTTAAAGAAACCCCTACAACAACTCAGTTCCAGTTGTGGGGTACTGCAGAGGGCAGTGTGGGGTCCCCAGAGCCCAGACACCTGCATTCCCATCCCCCAAGACCCCAGTTGCAGGGCACCCCCTGGCCCAGTCACCCACACCCCCTTCCCCTAGAGCCGAGCCACAGGGCACCCTCCGGCACAGAAACCAACCCTTTTCCCCTTCCCCACAGAGCCCAGCTGTGGGACAGTCCCCAGACACCAGCCTCCCC